GGTATGTAAAATATATAATTTATGATGTTTAAATGTAAAGATCACGGCTAGAAAATTAATAGAGATTCACAAACGAAAATTATTGTTGCAAGGTTGTTTTCGTTATTAATAATTTAATACATAACAAAAACAATTAATGAACTTAGTCACATAATTGCTCAGCGAAAACAGAGTTGCTAATTAATTTGTTATTGTCGTCAATGATTTTGTTAACAACCAAACCGTATGTAATCTGTATTTATAATTGATAGGAAAAAATTTAATAACAAAATATTTAATAAAACTATATAGGTTTCAAACCTATTAAAATTGCATAAATAATAATAATAATAATAATAATAATAATAATAATAATAATAATAATAATAATATCAATATTTTTAAGATAATTAATAGACTATGATCCCTCAAATTTATGAAAACTATATTATCCGTTTCATTTTATACTATCAATATAGTGATGAAGTTAATACTTTTATAATGTTCATTTTACTAATGATAAAATTTTTAAAATGGGATAGTATTATCCAAGACAAGCCCCATTCATTATTACAAACTCGAATGAACCGACTTATATACGTAGGTAAAGAATTTATGATAAAATTATCATTTTTCATTCTTTTTTAGGTTAATTATGGTTACAAACTGTCACATTCTACATTAATTAATAAATATATATATTAACTATTCTTTCATATAGTATTAAAACTAATTAATTATATTTCACACTAATTGGTATACAGAAATTACAAAAGTACAAAAAATTTTATTGCAATATTTTTTTTCAAGTTATTTATTATAAAATGAATACTATTTCTTAGCTCTCAAGAATGGATTTTTTTATATAAACTAATTAGTTTTAATGGTTAGACAACGCCTTAAAATTACATAAATAATTGCTATAATAATTATTTTAATATTTTGTTGGCTAATACACTCCAAAAAAAATGTCATATTCCAACAGAAAATCCTACGATAATATATTTCAACAAAAATTCCAACGGATATTCCAATGGTATAGCTTCCGTTGGAATGATTCCAACGGAAATTCTAACCAAAATATTCCGTTGGAATGAATTTTTCATTGAAATTTTAGATGGAATTTGATGATTCCAACGGCTATTTTTCCAACGGTTTTTTACCCTAGGAATTTCCGTTGGACTATGCAATTTCCGTTGGAATTTTTATTTCCACCTCCGTTGGAAAATCTACCGTTGGAATCTTCAAAATCCAACGGAAATTCAAATGGAAAACTCATTCCAACGGAATATTTTTGTTGGAATTTCCGTTGGAATTCCATTCAAATATATTTGTATTGGAACTTTTCGTTGGAATTTGATCATCTTGTTGTAGTGATAAATTGGTCATGATCTCTCTAAATTATAAAAAATACATTATTCATGACGTTTTATTCAATTAATATAGTGATTCATATGTAGTTAAATTTTTTATATTGTTTAGTTGGTAATGATAATATTTTTAAAATGTGATCGTAATTATTTGATTATAATTTTAATAATATATGGGCGCATATAATTTATAATACTTTCATGTGTAGATAATAGAGTACTAGTCATAACATATAAGAAGCAAAGTTTCCATGCATGAGTGCAATTGGTCTATCATAACTTTAGAAGTGGGGGTTTCAACCTGCAATTTAATACAAATAAAAATAATAAATACTATTAATGTTAATTGTTTTTTTTTTGTGATACTTAACAATCCAATATTGCATGATGCTTATATATTACTTCAAAAATTTTGATTTTATAAGATTTTTAGTGACCATAGTTGATACATTATTAATTAATTTTATTATAAAAAATTATAAAATACGTGTAAGGAATATATTGGCTATTCTTTTGAGCCAATAATCCATAAAGAATAATCAGTTAATCAGTACCTTTATGTTATACGCTTATATATACAAAATATCATTAAACATTAATTTTTATGTTAAATAAATTTTATTTACATATCTATAAATTTTCATAGTTCTAACTTTAGAAATGTCAGTATTAATATATAGTAAAACTTTCAATTATTTTGCACATTGGTCTTTATTGTGTGGATAAAGTTACAAGTTAGTATGTCAAAGAAAAAGGGCACTGCACTTATCTTTTTCTAAAGAAATGTACGAATTTCTGTTGAATTTAAACTTCATCAAAGTTCTTACATTCTATGTATTACTTAGGAGAATTATCATTAATTATCATTCCAAATTGCAGCCAAAGAGCTGGGAATTAAAGAACTGATACCAGCCTATCTTGATCCCAAACTCAACCCTCAAGATTTATCAACTGGTGTCAGCTTTGCGTCTGGAGGAAGCGGATACGACCCTCAAACATCTCAACTCGCGGTATTTACACATAAAATATAAATGTTGTTTTGTGAGACGGTCTAATGGTTAGATAGGTCGACCAGCCATACTTTACTGCAAAATACCATTCTTTTGTTTTTCTCATACCATTTTCATCTTGAAAAAATATGATTGTCTGCCTCACAACAGGCTAAGGAAGATAAATAAAAGAAAAACTAAAAAAAAAAAAAAAATTGGGACAAAAAATATGAATATTGTGTGACTAACCAATTGTGTAACCTGTTTTTTTTTCCCTTCTTGCAGTCAGTGACACCAATATCCAGTCAACTGAATCAATTCAAGGAGTACATTACAAAGCTGAAAGGTGCAGTTGGAGAAGAAAAGGCAAAATACATATTAAGCAACAGCATATATCTTGTGGTGGCAGGTAGTGATGACGTGGCCAACACCTATTTCACAATCGGCACACGGCGCGTACAATACGATATTTCTTCGTACGCTGATCTCCTTGTTTCTTCAGCTTCCAGTTTTATACAGGTACAAATTTGTTTGGTTTTTTCCCCACATAAAACGTACATTGACAAACAACTAATGAACTCAAATATGAGATAACGTGACAGGACATATACAAGCTTGGTGCAAGAAGAATAGCCGTTTTCGGTGTCCCACCAGTCGGCTGCTTGCCAGCTCAGCGAACACTTGCCGGTGGGTCAATAAGATTCTGTGCCGAGCCTTACAATCAGGCGGCACAAATCGTTAACGCCAAACTCTCGACTGCACTTGATTCCTTAACTGGAACTCTGCCTCAGTCGAGGGTGGTTTACATTGACATTTATACCCCTCTTCTTGATCTCATCATGTACCCTCAAAAATACGGTGAGCCAGTATCATATGATTAATTAGCTAGCTATAGGTTTATTAATTAAAGGGCTTTTTTTT